GTAAAAATTGATACTTTATGACAAAAAAATTTTCTTTCTTTTTTGATGAAAAAATTTTTGATCAATAAATTTGTAACAATCATAATTTAGATATTATAATTTAAATTGTGGTATACGATTCTCTATTAGATAGGAAATAAAAAGTTGTATCAGGCCTTTTCAGTCTCCCCTTCGTATAACTCACAATCGGCCATTCGTGTCGCCATAAGTCAGTTGGTTGTCCGAGGATTAAAACAAGATTCTGTATCTTTAACGGAAAATTGTCCAGTATCGACTAGCTTACAATATTGATCAATATTGATTTTCTTTCATCGGATATTAATATTTTTTTTTATAATAAATGAATATAACATGTAATATTATTATATTAAAAGAAAAATTGTTAATATCCAATAAAAAAAGTGAAAACTAATAAATCTCCTCTATAACAAAACGTACTTAAAGATATTATTAAATTAATAAACACGTTGATAGATTAGAAGAAATGACGTATGAATAAATCTAATATTTTTGAATTTATTTCAATATTATTAAACGAAATAGAAAAATTTTTCTTTGCGACTTCGAGCTGTTAATTAATTCGTATAAGAATCTCTTTTAATTGATAATTTTATCTTTGATTTATTAAGATATTATCCGAAGAAGAAATCGAGGTGAATAGGATTAGACGAGCACACGTTAAATTCAATATTTACGCGAGTCGGCCGCGCGTGTAATCGTGTCGCAATTAAGAGCAACAAAATTCGATTATGTACTCGCCAGTTCTCGACAGTACGCTCTAATTACCGTCGAAATCCGTAGAAAACGAATCGTTGCGGTTAGAACGTCTGCCAAAGTGATAACAAGCCAATTACTCTTGTGTTTCCCCCTTTTTGACGATTTTGTGTGCTATTTGCACACAATTGAAGACAATTTGCAAAAGGGAATAACACTTGAAAATTGTTTTTTTTTCTTGCAACAATCACATCGTGTGCAAAACAGAAAGTTACTTATATCAATTTACTAAAAATATCTATGTTTATGTAAACAATTAGACAGATGATGAATTGATTTTTATGGTTTTTAAATTATACTGCTGTAAAATTCCATGATTTTTATCAATATTTACGATCAGAAAGTTTATGTTTCTTCATTACTTCTGGAATTTTAATTATCATTTAATTCTTTTTATCTTTTTGTCTTGTTAAGAATGTTATTAATGTTGGATGATAGTCTAATTTTTAATTCCGAATTTTGTGCGCAATTCTTTTTATCTGTTGTCGCACGCAAGCACAAATTTATTTGAACAATATTTAATACTTGTTTACACTTAATAAAATATAAAAGCAACGTATATGAGACAGGAATAATGAATTTTATTCTTTCACTTTTATCGCGAAATAAAATTTCTTCAAAAATATTCTCTCTCGATTGATCATTGATAAATAAATAATCTTTTGATGGAATTAATAAATTCAATGCAACATATAAAAGCATGATATGAAAAAAAAATGTTGAACGAATGAAGAATAAACTATTCATCTCTCGAACATGCAATAAACAAAATATAAATAAAATATATCCTAATTAAAACTTAACAAATGGATCGAAGCAATCAAGATCAAACATCAACATGGTATAAATTTAATATTCAAGCAGACACTCGAATAATCAAAGGAATATCTCTCCTTCCGCGCGAAAGGATATATATTCCATCCTCGATAAAATTTCGTTATCGTTCGATTCGATTCTCTAAATGATCGAAAAACGGAGGTAAGGATTCCTCGCGTTAAAATAATAAACAAGTTCGATAATTGTTCGAGGCAGCGGTGAAATCAATGGCTCCTCCTTCTTCCATCGAAAAAGTTCGGTATACTGCATTAAAGTTCATTCTCCGCAAGTTTGCTCTGCAACTCGCCAAAAGTGGCGAACAGTTTGAAACTGTATCCCCCCTGGACGAACTCGGAAACACTTACGGACCGTTTTACCTCGAATCTTTCTCTAACGTTTCGAGATTAAAAATCGTAAAAGCAAATAAACGATCAATCACTCGTTTCTATCTCACGCGATAGATAAAAGAAATATATATACAACACAATTGTAATTAAGAGATTTTTAAATAAATGATCGATTATTTGAATGTCGGAATTAATAGTTTATAATAAATATATAAATAAATATATAAAATACAATAAATGTAGTTTCAATATACTTAATAAATTATAAAACATTATATTACAATTGATGAAGACTATTTCATTCTATAAATATAATTTTATCGTTAAAATATTAATAATACTTGCTATTTTTGAAATCTTTTTTCAAAATGAATATTTTTATGTCTTATTAATTATGAAATCTTAATGTAAAATTATTTAGCAAAGTACAGAATTTTTCTATTACATACTAAAAATGATAGAAAAAAGTAAATTGTATTCTTTCACTTCATTTATTTAATATAGGATATTTATATATTTTTTTTGGATAAAAAGGAGATAATAAAAAAGATATGTTTCAATACAGAAATTTATTAAATATTAATTTTCTGTCCATTGTTCAAGTCATCCAAAAATAGAGCTGCCTATTGTTTACAGGTAAATCAATTGCATAAAAATTCGAACTTTCTACTTTCATCCTTTAATTCGGATAAAAATACGCCAAGAAAGGATAACTTGGATTGGGGCAAACGCGGGATTCGTCAACGGCTTCCATATAAATTTTCAAAACGAACATTTCCTCCTTTTATGATGCTGTCAACCACTTGTCGGGACGTCTGAACAGAGAATCGTGCAACCGATTGCAAAGCGGCTATACACCGATATCAACCGGAATGAAATTTACGGTGACGTTCGCGATTCAATAACGCGCCAGCCCCGTCCCGTTATCTGTACAATTTATCTTTACATCGGTGTATATTAAGAAATTTCATCGACGACGAACTCGTTCGATAAAGAGGACGGTCGAATCGAGTGCGCACACCGCGATAGTTCCACCCCAGTGACGAAACAATAGGGGATGCAACCGATTGTGGCCAAGTATCAAGCGTGCAAATGGCTTTGTCAGCCCTGCACAAACGACCAGTTGAACAGATTCACTCAGAAAGTTCAAACGCCGTAACTATGGAGCGATACACAGATAAAAACATGGACATTTATCACCTGAATTGCCGCGGGTGCTTGACTGACGTTTAAAAACGTATACGCGAGACAAGATCGTACTTACGAAACACACGATATCGCTTGGATTTTTTTATATTAAATTTTGATTGTTATTATTCATAAAGCGATGATATGTAAAAAATGTAATTTATTATTAGAAAAAGAATCGAAATTTTTCTAAACAAAATATTAAAAATTATGAACTATTTTTGAAAATTGTTAATTCTAATCCCAAGTATATATTAGATTATTCTGTGAATAATGTTTTATAAGTCCAATTTGAGTATGAAAAAGAATTATTATATAATTATGAAATTAATAATGATTAAAATGTTAAAAATTATTTTTGAAAGTTGTCAATTCTAATCCCAAGTACATATTAGGTTATTCTGTGAATAATATTTTATAGTCCAATTTGAGTATGAAAAAGAATTATTATATAATTATGAAATTAATAACGATTAAAATGTTAAAAATTATGAACTATTTTTGAAAATTGTTAATTCTAATCCCAGGTATATATTAGGTTATTCTGAATAATGTTATATAATTATAATAATAATTATATATATGTTATATAATAATAATTATATGAAAAAGAATTATTATATAATTATGAAATTAATAATGATTAGAAAAATACGTAAGAATTTTTTGATACAATGTTTTATTACATATTAAAAACAATGATAGACAAAAGTAAATTGTATTCTTCCACTCAAACATTGAATTATTTATTTATATGACAAAGTTTTTGAAAATGGAGGTTATGAAATAAACATTTAAAATAATATTTTTAATTGAGAAGAAGTGCAATATCTTTTGAAAAGAGAACAAAAATTAGGTTTTTAGAATGATATTATTTATGAAATGATTTAATCTTAAAGATCGATATTCGAATTAACTTTGGATGTATGTAGGATATTAATAAAATCGTGGAACGTCTATAGAAGATCGATTTTTAAAGAGCGTAAGTTGTAAAAGTATCGATTGAAGTTATAAGCAATTTAATTTAAGTTTGTACAAGATGAAACGAAATAAATAAAGTAAGACATCTCTCTCTCCGTTGCCATTTCAATCTGTCTACGCCTCGTTTCATCTAACGCAAACTTAAATTGCTTATAATTTAATAAATAATCCTCGATAAACATTTTTTCTGTATATCAATAATAAATTTATGCTTACTTTTACGTTTCTTTGATCTTTAAAATCAACCCTTTAAAGATATTCCACAAATATATTAATACTCCGTATTTATATCGAATAAATTCAATCTTGCATCCTCTGAACTTAAATTTATAACTAAACAAATATATCGAATATTTTCTTTTATTAAATCAATAATCAAAGAATTGTATAATGTAATACATAATTATTTGCATATACGCAAAAGAGTAATTATTTATTTAATAATATTAATATTTAATAATTAATAATATTTAATATTTTATTAGTTATTTATTTAATAACAATTTCTTATGGATCATGATCTATAGATTAGAAAATCTAGCCAATTAGAATATAAATATAAATGACGAATCATTATTTTATGTTCAATTTTTACCAACTTTACAAATTAGCATATACGATTTTAATTTCTAAGCGATTGTTTCAATTTATTTTCTTAATAAATTAGACATATACACGAAATTATAATTATTAAATTAACGACGAATTAAAATCCGTTTTCATCACACTGCAGCCTCATTTCCACGTATAGAAACAACGAAGATGAATCTCTCCATTGTTCTCAAATGTTAACGAACAGAGAGTCCAGTGTTCCCTTGCAGTTAGCCAGAAAAGCGATAACGAGCAAGTTGGCAGTTTGAATGAGATTTAATCGGTCGTTGCATTGATTTACAGGGGCGCAGTGCTACAGCATGCTGCACGGAAGCGGCGGAAAGAATAACAACGTTCATCAGAACAGTCTGGATGACAGCAGTACGCAATACGGTCCGTACTTCGACATGTCGAATTCGAAGAACGTGACCACCATCCTGGGCAAAACTACGTACTTGAATTGCCGCGTGAAGAACTTAGGGAATAAGACGGTAAGTGAACGATTGAATACGACTCGGGATATATATCGCGTGAATTCGTGTTTCTTCCAATCTTGAAACTCGAAGGGTGATAGAGATCGATTTTAAAATTTTCGAGGAACGAAAGATTTTTACGAAATAACGTTTTATAAGAAAGATATGAAAGATTGCCTGAATATTAATTTATTCCAAAGAGGATGGAGGATCTATTATTATTTTAAAATTATATGATGTCATTTAAAAAGAAAAAATTGATCTTTGTATATCTATTTATCAGAAAAGGATATCAAATTATGTTTTTCTATTTATATGTTCATTTAATTATAAAATATCTATTTACTTGAAAATGAGAAAAATGAAAGATTGCGCGAATATTAATTTATTCCAAGAAGGATGGAAGATCTATTATTATTTTAAAATTATGTGATTCCATTTAAAAAGAAAAAATTGATCTTTGTATATCCATTTGTCAGAAAAAGATATCAAATTATGTTTCTCTATTTATATGTTCATTTAATTATAAAATATCTGCTTTTAATTAAAATATTTGCTTGAAAATGAGAAAAAGATTAGATGATCGACTATATATATTAATTTGATACCAAAAAAGATGTAATGCATTATTGGAATTAAAATTAATCAAATACTAAATATTAATTTCTTTTTTAAAAAAAGATATATATTTAACAATATGTAAGAAACTACTAGTTTAATCCTTTCAATGCTTCATATGTATATGTTCCATAAAATTTTGATCCAAAAATCTTTTATGCGATACATGTTGTTTTAAAGTATTTTTCCACTATTTCTTGTTTAATATTTTTATTCATATTGATCACTAAAATTATCACTAAATTTATATTTTAATTGTTTTACACTTTGCTACTATCACTATCTTCTTAAATTGAATAAATGTGTATCACTTGCATATAATTTATTTTATAATTTATTTATTTTATTATTTTATTTTATTAAATTTATCCCGACAATACTATTGGAACATATTTATACCAATACCGACAGAACATATCTTAGCACTTTCTCGAAAACGATATAAAATTTTTCGCATGTTATACTACAATTTCCTTACAACATATTTTCATCTGATCAATTTCTTCGAAAAATAATAATATTTTATATCATTTTAAAAATTTAAAACAATTTATTTCCATATTTTGAAATGAATAATATTATTTAATCATTTGTTACAAATTATTCAAACATTGTAATTCTAATTTAAATTTTTTATTCTTAAAACATCACGTACAACGTTCGCTCGCAAGAAAAATTACAATAAGAAATTAAATACTCGTAAACATGTATATTTAAAGCTTTATTGAAACGAGGAGATCACGAAAGCATCACGTGCGATGTTTCTCGCGAGAAAAATTATCGCCAAGCATTAAATATTTGTAAATATATATCTAGAGCTCGAGCGAAACGACAGGATCACGAGACGCTTTGAGTTTAATCTGGGTCAACGTTGGAAAAGATTAAGGACCCTTGATTCACAATCCAATGAAACTGCCTTGCTACGCCTTATATTAATTATTCAGAGTTAACTCTCTATGCTCGACACTTACGGCATTACCCTGATAATCAGCCAGACCGTTCGAAAAAGGCCATCCTCCCTGCAACGTTCTCTATTCACTCGTCATATCGAAGAAAAAAAAGAGAAAAAGTTGAGTCAAGGATAACGCGATATCGATTTCGTGTTCAACATTCGAATAAAAAGTAGAACGAATTCCATTTGCAATTTCAATATAATTGACATTGGTTTGTATAGATAGTATAACTTGAATAGAGTGATCGATACTGTAAATTCTTTTTGAAAGGGAAGTCAGGTTTTAGAGCGTCGGTATATGGTATAAAACGATATTAATCTTTTTAGTTTTGCATCGACTTTCGAACATAAAATCTCTATTGACGGCAATAAGCATAAGTGAGATCTGGATGGTATAAAAATTTATAAATAAACTTATAGCTACAAGTGATCCATAAAATTTTATATTTATTTAGAAATTTTTATAAGACTTTTTTTTTTTCTCTATAAGAATATTTAAAAATGAAATCAAACGTTTTCCTTTTCGTTATGCGATAATTGAATTAGGATTAAAATTATTTTTAGAAAAATAATTTTTCGATCGAAGTAATACTTATAAGTTAAAATTTATTTTATATATATTTTTTAATATATATTATATTCTAATCTTAGTAAAAATCTTCTTCTTGTTTTAATCTAAACTTCTGTTTTGATTAGCTACACTATATTGATAAACTTAAGTATAAGATGAAAGTAGTTCACTACAATACAGTTTATTATGGCACTTAACCGTAACTTTAATTATTTTCACTAACAAGAAGATTACAAAACTTTTATCACAGATTAAATTGCAACTTTGACTACTATAAATTTTACTATGGTAAATTTTGTTATTCCGTATTCAAAACTACTCTTATTATATGAATATTTAATATTCAATATTCTTTGGAACACACATTAAAGAGTTAATCAGTACCATAATAAATTTAGGTTATGTTGGCACATTATACAAGCGCTTACCAGACATTATGACTATAAAGATAACGTGATGAAATTTTAAACAATAAATAAAAATAAAACTTAAATAAACTTACAATAAATATAATTAAAGCTAAAATTATTCGCGTAATTAAACTTTAATAAAAAATGCATATATCAAACTTCAATTTTATATTGTTCCACTTTGAATCAAATTAAAAATTCATTTAACGTGTAATTATCAAGAAAATTTAAAAAAAATTGAATGACATTTTGCCGATAAATAAGAGTTTAAGAACACTGGATGAAATGAAAAGTGAAAAGAGTACGAAAATGAAAATAATTACCGTAAACATTCAGCGTTTAAATTGATAAGAGGAGAAATTAAATCGACGAGAAAGCGTAGGAGGCGGTTAAGCAAAAAGCATGGATCCACATCACGAAGATGGGCTTACGTGTAAACGTTTTTCCTTCCCCAATGTTGAGTGCAGGAAAATATCGAGTGTCAATATTTTACCGGCACAATGGATCGTCACCTGTCTGTAGCAAACTGCAAGGGATGCATCGGAAGTGCACTTGGCCGCCGGCGATCTTTGCACACTGCCATTGTACGAAGTGCAACTGCTTTACCCGATTTATATATTCAATGTTTATACGCTCGAAATATAAGAAATATAAGAAATATATTGAGCATTTCAATTAAAATGAATTCACTGATAAAGTTTATTGGAAGTTGTATGACGTCAGTGAATACTTTTTGGATTAATATTCGTTCTTTCTTATGAAGACTTGTCAAATTGTTACGATACGAAAAGTTAAATTTCTATTCTAATTTTTTAAAAAATAATGGAATTTTATTTAAATATATTTTTATTGAGAATAAAATGATCGAGAATGATACCGAGAAGCTTATTTGAAAAAGCTTATGAGATAAAACCTAGATTATTATTAAAGAGAGATTTATCAAAAAAAATAAAGGCTTTTTTAATTTTCTTCGAGGAAGAAATGTCAACATAAGGATGAATAATTCAATGAATAATTCGTTTTATTTAAATTCGTATATTTTGAAACAAATTTATACGTGTCGTAAAAGCACAGGAAAAAACCACGATCGTCAGGTAGCCGTATTTTATGAGATTTTTTTTTGCGAGTGTTTCGGAAAAGATTACATTATCTGAATTATTCACGATCCATTGCGCGCGATTCATAAATATGAAAAATATCGAAGATTAATAATTCAACTTTCATTAAACAAAAAGCAAAAAAAAATAATTAACTTTAAACTAGATATAAAATATTTAAAAAGAATAAATAAATTATAAATTATAAACGATTCTAACACATCTTTTCTTATAAAAGATTAAATAATAAATTGGCAATAATTTCTTAACATTTTAATCAACGAAACTTTAAATAAATCATGATTGCATCATGTTTTTATGATTGCAATATGGTTTTAACAAGAAATCATATCCTCCAATGCTGAATTGCAAAAATTCTAAATTCCATCAGAATAAAAACAAATCCTCAGTGAAAGCATTTAATACCAACAATTATTGATTTACATTCGATGTCTAATTTAAAAAAAATTTCACAATATTTCATAGAGTAATATCGCCAATATCCTAAGATGCGATTTTAAACTCATAATAATAAAAAATACACACACATTCTTCGTAATACTAAATACAATCAAACGTTTCTAATAACGAAATGCATACAATTGCAAGAGAAAACGAACGCATTGATGATAACAATTCCAACTATTAAACGTACTATAAAAAAAGAAACAAAGCAAAGATTGTTATAAGAAAAAAATAGTTTGTCATTCATATGTACATACATATAACATAACCTAGTTTCGATTTGCGTTCTGCGAAAGACACGTGCTCCCGCGAAATTCGCATCAGAGATACAACCAGTTTCCAACCACGATGGGTTATTCCCGAAATTTTAACTATGCCATATACGATCAGCCAACACGATGCTAAGCTTGGAAATTGACTCGAGTAATTATACGCGCGTGAGCGCCCTCTTGCAACTCGACACGCGCCACTAACAGTCGAAGCATCGTTTCTAACTTTTCTTTTATTCTATGATTAACGACCAACTAAAAGCTTCGTGAATGTGTATAATTATGGAGAGTATTTGGAAACGAGCGTGACAAACTTTTTTGAATGAGATAGTTAGTAATGTCGAATGAGAATTGGTCAATTCTTGTTAATAATACTTTTCGTTTCGTAAATTGGTAACAGGATTTTAAATGTAAATGTTGTAAGTTATAATTAATTGAGTATAACTGGTTTAATGGATAATTTTTTAGTGCTTATTTATTTTAGTAGTAAATTAATTTATTCTAGTTATGTTGTTATATTTTATGTTGCATGCTCATTAATTGAAAAATAAATAAAAAATCATTAAAATTAATAAAATAATAGTTTAATTTTTAGAAAGATCGTATTATGTGAATATTGTCATAATTTAAAAAAGA